CAGTGCACAAATTTTGTTGGCATTTTCATCTGTTCGAGAAGTTGATGATGTCCAGAATGAGGTTTGTCATCAATCGACCTTTCACCTTTTTGAAACAAGAAAACCACTTGTACAATTGAGTTTTTCCCTTAGCGCTGTCCTTTTAAGCTGTGTTGAACATCACAACAGTTTCTGCAGCATTTTTCCCAAGCAGGAAACAAAATTTCAGAACTGCAAGCTGTTCTCTTAAATCAGCCATCACTAAAAAATGAGGCTTGAGTGAAACTGCTTTCATTAAAAATTTCACTGTGACCAAAGAGAAGGAGTTGCTCGATGCTCCCCTAGCAGGAAAATGAGTACTGTACTATGAAAGCGCTCCCCAGCAGAGCTGTTTTCCATTTTGGCAGGGGTGGCCCCCTCATACAGCTTCATGACTTAGGAATAGAAAACATATTGTTCAACTTAATTTAAACACATTAAAAAGGCAAGGTAATGGAGTTGGGGAATATATATTTTTTGTTATTTTCTTTTTCTGAGGAAGAATTCACATCCATTTTTCAAAAATACACAAATCATTCTGAAAGAGACAAGCCAGTGAAAAAATTGAGTGTGACTAAACAGGCATTTCACCAAAGAGAATATCCACGTAATCCATGAACAGGAAAATGTACTCAAAATCACTAGCTACCAGAATGTAAGTTACATCACAAACAAATGCCACTAGAATGACGAAGACGACCACAGCTATTCAAACAGCCCGGCCGTTCCCTAGTGTTGGAGAGGACCTCGAGCAACTGTGACTCTGTGTGCCCCTGGTGGAATGTCAGTCGGCTTAATCACTAGAAATTGTTTCTGTATCTGCTACAGCTAAACACATACCTCTGGCTCATTAATACTATTTTTGAATATTTCAATTGTGTTTTGGTGAAAGCTTACACCATAAATTAGGTGCTCATGGGACAAATTCTATAAAAATTTTTCAGTGATAGTTCATCTCATATTTAAAATTAGAAATAACCCAAATATTCCTTCAATGGTAAGAATTGATAAGGATTTTAGGTTTATACAATGGAATATTTTATAGCAATGATAATGTGTGAATTAGTGCTATAGACATTATCATGGATGAATTTCACAAACATGATGTTAGATAAAAGAACATAGAAACAAGAGGCCATGCTGTATAATTCCATGAGTCCCAAATATAAGCCCCCAAATAATCAAGTCAGTCGTGCCCAGTAGAGGGCAGAGGGAGGCTTCTTGCATACTGGGAGTGTTCAACTTATTGATCTGAAATGTCATATAAATTTGTAAAAACTCATCAAGCTGTACATTTCTGTATTCACTTCAGAATTTAAGGTATATTGGAACTATCATAGCTTTAGCAGGGATGTCTGTCCACAGACAGATCTATGCCACACTGAATTATTCAGCGTTTCTGTCTCCAGAATAAAGCTTACACCCATATTTGCTAGGCAGAATGCCTGTCTTGGACCTAATAACATGCTTACCTTCCATGTTCCATTTACCCTAATTTTCTACCCACAAGCACTTGGGGCTACTAGTTTGGACTTTCATCTGATCTCCTCTATGCCTCTCTCTGCCCTTTGACCTTCAAGCCTATGGGGCCTATAACAGTTCTTGGAGCAGTCTCTCTATTATGTTGTTTTGACACTCTTTTAAGAAGAGTCTGTTGTAGTAAACAATTGCAGATATTCCAGAAGGTGAGTTTATCTCTTTTTTTTGTTTTCTTTTGTTTTAAATTTTTATTTTTAATCAATTTATTGGAGGCTTTTTAAGTCTTATATGCTGCACAGAAATTCTCAGGTTATATGTAAATTAAAACCCCCCCACAAATTCAACAATTTATAGATATATAATCTCAACAATTTCATGTATAGAATCATTAAGCTCTTCAACAAGGTTATAAGTTATTTAAAAACAAAAATACACTGGTTATTTTTAAAATATATTTTCACACAGGAGTTATCTAATTTTGCTATAGTAATATGCTGTATTTATATTTAATGTTGGCTTTGGTAGCTAAGCATCATGTTTCATGTATTCAGTACCTCAATACACAGCTAACTATGTTCCCACCACCCTCCCGCTCTGGCTCCAGTTTTGGGAGAAACTCTTCCTAGTAGGAGAAATACACTCTGGCTAGAGTTTATGTTGACGTGCATAGCAAAATTAGGAAGGTTGGTGAAAAATACAGCCCATATGCACAAACTTCTGGGATTTCAAAATCTGGGACTTTTTATCATTTGCTGGAGACCTGTTGAATGCAAAGCACTTATTTTCTTTTGAATTAAGGTTATGATAAAGGCTTGGTTGGAGAGACTAAGTTCCATACTTGGTTTTTGTAGAGGTTTTGAAGATTTATGTGATATGTTCAGGTTATTTGGAGTCCATAAAAGAATCCCCCATGACTTCTTGTTGTTGTACTGCTGAGTGGGTTCCAACTCATAGTGACCCTCTATAAGAACAAGAAGGAAACGCCTCCCGGTCCTGTGCCATTCTCCCGACTGCTTTTAGGCTTGAGCTCATTATTATGGCCACTTTGTCAGTCCATCTTACTGAAGATCTTCCTCTTTTTTACTCCACCTCCACTTTACCAAGCATGATATCCCTTTTCAGGGACTGGTCACTCTGATAATATGCCCAAAGTACATGAGAGGAAGTCTTGCCATCCTTATTCCAAAACAAGTTTTTCTGGATGGCCGTGGTGTATGTAATATTCTTTGCCAGCAACATAATTTAAAGGAGTTAATTCTTGTGTCTTTCTTATTCATTGCCTAGTGAGGTGACTGAAAATACCATGACTTGAGTCAGGTGCACCTTGGTCTTCAAAATGAAATAGTTGCTATTGAACATTTGGATCTTTTGTAACACATTTGTTCAGTGCAGTTCATCTTGTGCTTTCCAGACTGCATCTCCATGGGCGCTGGTTGTGGATCCAAGTAAAATTGAAATCATTGGTCACTTCAGTCTTTTTGGTTGATGGTAATATAGCTTATGGGCCCAGGTTTTTGTTCTCTTTCTGTTGAGGTATAATCCATATTGCAGGCTGTGTATCTTGAAGTGCTTCAAGTCCTTTTCCTTCTCTCAGCAAGCAGGCGTGTGCTATCTGCATATTGCAGGTTGTTAGTGAGTCTTCCTCCAATCCTGATTGTTTGCCACATGCTGAAGTGACCAATACAGGAATGATATTACTGGTATTCAGACTAGCTATAAGGCTTTTCAAGAGAAGAGACCTTGGCTATCACCCATTGCCTACCAGTACCAGTTCATTTATAAGGGTGGAAATTTCTATATTTCTTTTTTGAGTTTGCAGCTGAGAAGTGGGAGCAGGCAGATAGGTGGTTTTTTCCCCAAGGGGCTATTGGGTTGAATTTATTCTCATGTGAGTTACCCAGAGTTCATGAGCAAGAGCACCATGATGAACATGAACTCTTTCCATGGACATGGACCTTATGTTCTGTTGAAGTCCCCATGTTTAGACCTGTCCTATGTAACTGGGGACGGGACATTATTAACCACAAGAATTCTTTAGAGATGGTTAATATCTACTAGTTCATGTTCCTAGTGCTCCCTACCCCACCCTCGTAGCATAAAGTTTTTTGGGGGTGGGGGACCAGCCCCACCGCTGGTCCCAGGTTCAGTAATGCACAATTGTACGGTTGAGATATATACATATTATATTAAAGTCATCGCGAGCGTGAGAGGTAAAAGAGATATTACAGTAATGCAGTCAGACACATTTTATGGTAGCATTGCTCACCTCAGCCCTGCTTGGAGGTCCACGTGGAGAGAGGGGGAAGGGATGGAGGTCAGGAAAGGGAGCAATGGAGAGAGGACAGGAGAGGAGAGGGGGAAGAAAGGGGAGCGACCAGCAAGAGGTCAGAGAGCGCTCTATAGCTGGCCCATGCCTATATACCTTTTGGGAGTGTGCAAGCCCACTAATTACAGGTAAAGTCATACGTCACAGGAAAGGGTTGCATTATGGTTATACAGCAATGAGAGGGGATCTAGGGACATACATGCACTAGGAAGAGGAGGGATTGGGGGTATACATGTGACAAGATGAGCGGATCCTAGATTTAGGATGGCAGCTTAACTTTGACCTGTTCTCAGGGTCTCCATAGGAACCATTATCAGTAGGGTAAAAACCCCACCTATAGGAACCAAATAGATGACTTCAGACCTGTCCATTGTCTTTAACAGCAGGGAGCAGGACCCTCTGCAGTCTGGCAACTGATCGCCCCGATGCCTGCTAGCATCTACCTTCCCCCACACACCCCTGTCCCCTTCTGCAGTACTTACTTAATGACTTTTCTAGGCTGGACTCAGAATACCAGCAAGGATGAGAAATACTCAGAGAGAGAGTAGTTGGCAGGGCAAAATGGAAAGTGAGATGAGAGGAGGAGAGGGATGGTCAGTGTTGGGAGAACACAGAGGAGGGAACCGAAGAGCCAGGAAGTGAGATTCTACACAATGGACTTTCAAAGACTCCAGAGGATGATATACGCGCACTTCCTGCACTTCGCTCACCAATATCTTTGCCAAATGTTAGTCTCAGTCCCCAAACTAAACCCACTACCATTGAGTTGGTGTTGAGTCATAGTGACTCAAGACTGTAAATCTCTATGGGAGAAGATAGCATCATTCTGTGGAGAGGCTGGAGGGTTTAAACTGCTGACTGTGGCTGGCTAGCAGCCCAGTACCCGACCCACAACACCACTAGGTCAGAAATAACAAGCTGTTATCTTTTGGGACTTTATTAGGTAGAGATGGGACTAAGTGATTTCTTAAGGTGCCTCTGAGGAGTATGATTCAGCACAATAGGGTGCACTGATACTTAGATTGGGACATTTACTTATTCGAAGATGAAAAAGAAAGCTAACTCACAGTTGGAAATATTAGCATGATTCATTTTTGTCTTTTGCTACAGGTAATCTAGAAAGATAAATCTTTGTGATAGTAGAGTTTTATTTTGCCCTCTTTTGCTTTGTTTGTAGGAAGATGACTCTTCTTGTGACTCCGGCAAAGAGAAGAGGGCAGTGAAGAAAAAGGAGCCTTCTAGGGGAGTGTTTGTGAGAAGGTACTGAAGGGGGAGATTACTTTCAGTAAACATCTTTGATGTTTCTCCTGCATTTTAAAAATAAATAGAAATGTAAATCTACATAGATTCTTCTCAGAATCACTGTGATGCTATTATTCCAATTGTGAAGGCAGAGTGTGTATACAATCTCTCGGGTTTAAAAAATGCTGTGTACTCAATTGTATTCCACCTCCCAAGACACTTGATATTGCATCTTCATAGGCAAGCCACGACCCCAGAGCAGGTTTACATGAATAATTAACTTGACTAGTATTCTCATAAGCTTTTTAAGATGGTCTAATCAAAAGAAACCTATGTTTCGGCTTTAAGAAAAGGCTACTCATAGTAGAATACTACTTTCACTTTCTAGAGAGTATCATATACTAATATTAGAGTGAATATATATATTTTTCTTGAAAACATTTTTTTGAATGGCCTCACTTTGAAAAAGGTTATGCACTTTGGAGAAAATGCAGCGTTAGGAGGATACATGTTAGAAAAGAACAATTTTATAATGACAGCCACATCTCATTCTCAGGAAATTTTTACATAAAAATGAAAATCAGTTCTTCTATAAAGAGAAAAACATATAGTGTATGCTTGCTAAGAATATCCACTAAAAAAGGCTCAGAATTTAGCCATTGTTCTGTCTTACAAGCTGTATAAGAAAGGAAGTAGAGGAGACAACATGGGAGAGGGTAAGAAACTCATGGTTTATGATTCTTCCCGTTTCCCCCCTTGAACTGAAAAATCCAGTGTATTTTGTTGACCAATGGGTGGTGACATTTCAGTTCTTTCCCTACTTCAGTTCCCACATTTTTTTTACCGTCCATCCTTACTTCTTACTCTGTGATCCAGCAAAGATTCAACTATTTGGGGCAGATGACTAGATCCTGCCTCCTGCTGAAGCCTTGGGCTTCACTGGTAGCAGCCTTCCCCCTATACCTGACTGCCTACCCTCAGGACTCCAGCAGCCACCTAAATGCCACTTAGACCCATTACCACCAGCACCAGTTCCTCTGGCAGGAGGGCACTTGATTACAAAGCCTAGTTCAGGCCACCTAAAGGTCGGTAAGCAAGTGATTAAAAAACAGCTTATTAATCCTGATAGATAACCTTTATAATCAGTTCTTAGACATAACAAAATAATTATACTTTATAAATTATCAAGGGTTCATGAGGGAGGGAAGGTGAGCGAGGGAGGGGAAAAAATGAGGAGCTGATATCAAGGGCTCAAGTAGAAAG